GATGAGCTACTTGGAACAATTTATCACTGGGGAAGCTCTCAAAATTGTTGAGGGAGCTAGTCTTTTGGATGCAAGGTGAGGTTATAGAGCCGCTTGGATGGAGTTGGAAGAATAGTATCGCAATGAGGAGGTTGTGGCTTCTGCTTTAGTGAAATGTGCGCACAGTTGGCCTCAAATCAAGATAGACAATCCAACATCTATTGATAAGTATGCTAATTTCTTAACGTTTGAATGCTGTGAGTACAATCACTGCTGTCAAAATCATTGAATATCCTGATAATCTAAGAAGTTAGTCATGAAATTGCCCTATTTCTACCATGAAAAGTGGAGAAATCTTGTCCTCAATGTTTGAGATTCTGGACGATTGGTAGATTTTCGGTACCTTGTCAAGCGTGAGGCTAAGAAAGCTTGAAAACTGAAGGAAAGAGTAACATCGCCAGTTCATTCTTCATGTTGATTGAAATACAGAAGTGAAAGTCAGTGCCTGTGCTGGACTTTCCAGCATTCGTGGTACCTATAAGGAGGCCGGTAACTATGAAAGCACTCTTGCTATCATACCTGTTAAAATAGCCTGTGGAAATGGCATTACAGATGAGACAACATATGCCTTTTTAGATCCAGGGAGCACTGTCAATCTGCTCAGAAACCCTGATCCGGCTTTGATGTAGTGGGAAGAAGATGAAAATCACCACTGACACAATGGGTCAGCCGCACACGTCTGTAGTTCAAGCAGTAGATGGCCTCCAAGTTTATGAGTTGAAGAATGCGATATCCTTACCAACCATATACTCCAGGGAGCATATACCAGTATCCAACAAGTACATACCTACGTCCTTGGATGTGGCCTCATCTAGCTGACATCAAAGTGCCAGGAATTGATGCCAAGGTGGTAATTTTAATTGGAGCCAATGCACCAGATGCATATTCTCCAGTCGATATTCAAACTGGTCCTCAAGGTAGTCCACATACCTCAAGAACTCAATTGGGTTGGGTTCTATGGAATGTCTTGCGAATACAAAAAACAGAAGAAGGAAGTAGATTACCATCTATGAGAACAGAGATTGCTTTAAGAATGCAGAAGAAGTGAAAGGTCTTGACATGATGGTGAAAGAAAGTATGAACTTTGATTTTCAAGAGATAAACATTGATGACAAAAAAGAAATGTCCCAAGAAGATAAAGAGTTCATCAGTGTGGTATCAAATCCCATTAACAAGCAAGAAGATCACTATGATATAAAGTTACCATTCAAAACCAATGATGTTGTAATGCCTGGCAACTCAGAACAAGCATTGCAAAGGCTAAATGGTCAAAAAAGAAAAAGTTAACCAAACACTAAAAATTCCATGAATATAACAAGGTTTTCATTAAAGATATACTTGACAAAGGGTACGCTGAGTAGGTACCAGTCAGTGAAATTCTAGGTCCCCCAGGCAAGATGTGGTACATTCCACATCATGGAGTGGTCTTCGATTGCACAGCTAGCTACCAGTGTGTTTCTCTGAATAGTATGTTACTGCAAGGTCCAAACCTCATCAGCAACTTAATTGGAACACTGATGTGATTCTGCCAAGAAAGCATTGCTGTGACGGAAGATATACAAGCTATGTATTATCAAGTGAGAGTGCCAAGAAAAGAACCAGGAGCCACAAGTGTACAGAATGCTTGTCCACCTTTTTGGAGCTGCAAGCTATGCTACCTTTGCCCTACAGCATGCAGATCATCAAATGAGTATGATCCTCACATCACAGACATGATAAAGGACAACTATTATGTGGATGATTGTCTTGTTTCTGTTCTGCATGAAACACAGGCTATTTGTGTCGTCAAAGAAGTCGCAGCCTTATGCCACAGATGTGGAATTAAACTTACAAAGTGGATAAGCAATAGCCATGCTGTGATGAAAGCAATTCCTTCAGAAGAAAGCGCAAAAGATGTGAAACAACTGAACCTTGACTGTGAAAGTCTCCAAAGTGAAAGGGCCTTGGGAGTGTTTTGGTTTGTAGAATCTGACACACTTGGATTCCAAATCCAAAGTAAACCTAAACCAATAATGAAATGGGCTTCATAGCTCCATTTGGGCTCCAAGCCAAGCAGTTAACAATATGGATGGGATCAAGAAAGAGATGCTGTTTCACAAAGAAAGTGGCAACAATGGCAACAGAACTTACCCAGACTTGAGGAAATTCAGGTTAAACGATCTCACAAGCCAAAAGACTTTAGCAAGGTTGTATATGCCAGCTACTTCTTTTCTCCGATGCCAGTGATATTGGTTATTGTGTAGTGGCTTATCTCCGTCTCTTGAATGAACGTAATGAGGTGCATTGCGTCTTGGTTATGGCAAAGTCTAGAGTTGCCCCATGAAAGAAGATAACCATACATTGAATGGAACTTACAGCAGCTGGGCTTGCTGTACAACTGTCTGGAGTGAGCACTCAAGAGCTCTCACTCCAGACAGTTGTACAGAGCTCTGGAGTGATCACTAAAAGTGCCCTAAAAGGCGACTATGCTTGTCGTAAGAGGCGACTAACGGGATCGGGTGGCCAGGCTTGCTGACTTGTTTGATGCATGTCATCAGGCCTAATTGTGTGGATCGATGCTCATGATATCACTCATTAGATTGTCTGGTCCAGACTCGATTATTTACAGACCGCCATCATATAGACGGAATATTGCTGAGTGCGGCATTAAACGACAAACAAACACAACACTACACTCAAGAGCTTCAGTATCGCTTAAGTGACACCTTATATTGGACACCACATCACGTTTTCAAACATTTGGGGGCAACATCATTGCTGTAATACGGGAAGCTATGGGAATTCTTGATAATCTGAGCCAGACCTATTATCAAATCACAGCTTGCAAAATGTGTCATTTGTCGTAAGTATCAAGCACCAGCTGGTCAGCAGAAAATGGCAGATCTTCCAATGTTGGTATTGACTACTTTAGTAGATTTCAAATAAAGCTTGGAAGAAGCTGTGTCAAAAGAAATGGTATACTTTTCACCTGAATGGCTATATTCATCTTGAAGTAGCTAACTCTTTGGTCACTTACTCATGCATAAATACCATCAGAAGGTTTATCGCCAGGCGTGGTCCACCAAAGGTTATCTGATTTGACAATGGCACCAATCTAGTTCGAAGTAAATGGGAGCTTCGTGACAGCACTCTCCAGCTTCAATCAATCCAAGTTAAGTTCAACATTGGTAAATGAAGGGATCCAATGGCGCTGATGAATGATGTATACTCTTCTGTGAAATCAAAGCCATTGTCAATGGAAGGCCCATTACAAATGTACCTTGATCTAACACCTCTAACCCCAAGCCATCTTCTTTATTTGAGATCGGGAGGGATGATTCCCCCGGCACATTTTCGAAAGGATGACATGTACTGCAAGCATCGATGGAAACAGGTACAATATCTTGCAGATGTTTTCTGGAAAAGATGGAGCAGAGAATATCTTCACTTATTGCAGGAAAGACAAAAATGGAACACCACCAAGAAAAACCTTCAAGTTGGAAATATTGTACTTGTCATGGACAATACACCGCATAATACATGGGCACTCGGTCGTGTTATTTAAGTGTTCAGGGACAGAAGAGATTTAGTGAGAACTGTGAAAGTTAAAACCACTACTTTTGAACTATTGTAACCAATCGACAAACTGTGTGTTATTAATAGTGACTGAAGGTGTACTGTGTAATGTGATAAATGACAAAACCATACCAAAAGAGACTAAAGAACATAAACTGTGTCTGATTGATGAAATGTTGCATTTTAGTTTAATTCAGGATGTTTGTTTGTATGTTATCTAGACAAAGTGATTTATCTTAGTTTAGTTCATAAGAAAGATATATTTTGCCACCAAGGTACCAATTTTAGTAATAATTTCACTTACATTCTACAATTAGGAGGTCGGTGTGTAGTGGTAAAAAATTCACCCGTTTTCATTTTAGCTTCTGAAAGGGTATTTTAATTTTTTGTTTCTTTTAAGTTCGCAATTTGTAATATTACCATTTCATTTAAAGTTCTAAAATGTCTCATGTTACCCTTCCAAATATGTAACAAGGGGAGGTAAATGCTCTGGGGTCAGGTATTTAAAGCCATGTGGTCTGAGAAGGCACATGTCCAAGTCACCAAGTCAAAATTTATGGGCTAAAACAATAGTAAGCCAGTTTCAAACCAAGCCCCAAGCAATTTCTGGTAAATGCAGTGTTACATATGTTGTGGTTAACTTTGAGTAATTCTCTGGTGTATAGAACTGATAATTGTTTCACCATATGTGTGTTAGTTCACCTGTTGCAGCTCACCTTACCAAACTTGCCCATCAAGTTCAAATGTCAACCTAGTTCTCTCTTTAAGTTAATTATTGTTTGAAACGAATAGACATTTAATTGTTTGTTTTTGTTAAGCACTGAGACAGCTTCTCATCTGTTTCAATCAATCTGTCTTGCATAAAAGATCTTAAAGAAAATACATAAGAAGAATGAAAGAAACCAGAATAAAGACTTAAGATCACAAGAGACTTGATTATTACATGCATAAGGCAACGCTGTATTTAATTATAGGCTTGCCAGCCAAGCGATATCATTGCATCCAACAATGCACTTTCACAATAAAGCAACGCTGTATTATAAGGGCCCTCCAGCCAAGCAATATCACTGCATCCAACAATGCACTTTCCTGCGAGGTGTTACAATCGTTGTTATACCTCCTGCGAGGTGTTACAATCGTAATACCTCCTACGAGGTGTTACCACAATTTCAAAAACTCCATATCGAGTTACACAAACAGCCAGTAGGTTTATAAATGTGTGAGAAAAGAGATACCTGTAACATATTCAAGTCACATGATACTTTAGGTCTTGGAGACTCTCATTGATGTTTAATGACTGCTATACTTGAATGACAGTGGTTGTATGTTGGTTAGATTTAGACTTAGATTAAGTAAACATGCATGATGCCATATGTTTTTGTGTTATCTTTAATTTTTTATTGCAGGTCAGATCCAAAATTATTCAGAGACGATGTAGATATCAAGTTCAGCAGAACTCTAAATTCTTGTAAAGTACCTCAGGTTTGTATTTACATTATATGATTGTTGTGTGTTAATACTGTATAAAGCTGCACACTTTCTTTAAAGACTATCACCTCTAAAATGTTGCATGTTTTGATACAGATTATGCATCTTTCAGCATGTCAGTATTTTATGTTCGTCACACTTTATCTGTGTATATCTGTACCATATTGTTTGCTAAAATCAGAAACATTATTTGGATTGCCATGGTGTTCCACTTGTATAGATAATTGTAACTGAATACCTAGCTGTATCATCATTCATATACTCTTCACATGTTCAGCTTCTTCACCAGAACCTATGGTGTGGGTGTTCCTGGCCAAAAGGAGGCTTGTGTTTCACTTTTGAAAACATCAAAATAAATATGGCTTGTAGCTTGCTCACTGAAAGTCAATTGGGCATATGTCATGGCATGATGTCCAATGTCCATTTTTCTTGTGCTACCATATTCACTGTTCACCAAAGTCACTGACCAACTTATAGACCGAAGTATAGTCTGTATTTGCACCACCTACTAAAACCGAACATTACACGACACTCCATATACTATTGTCTACATTACAGATATGTTTACAGAAAACTGCAGTGTAGAAGGGATTGCTAATTGCCTTGTAACTATCATAAAAAAGTTGTAATTCATTAATGTTTGCATTAAGTTCACTACAGTTCTCTCTCTGAAAATGAATTTATGTGTATGGTTTTGATAATACAGTGAATATGGTTCTGCATTATTTACATCTCCTCTGAAACTATAATCCATATGAGGCTGAAACATTGCGTGAAATTATGGTGCCACTAAAACTCGATCTCAGACTTTTGATCCGATGTTAAACATGACCTTTATGGCAGGCATATTTAGAAACTGGCTACTAATCGGTTATCTGTCTTTGATATATTAAGATGAGTAAGGTAAGTATGTGAATTTGGTGTCTGTGCAGTTGGAGTAGGGCCTAACATATATTTTCACATATGGTTACCATACAAAAAAAGCCTGACTTTGAAAAGAAATGGTTTAAGCCCCTTTTAGGTGAGGCAGTCAGTAGGATGGCCCAATTGGGTTTGCACTTCCTGCGACCTGGGACTAACTTTTACTAAAAAGTTCAGTTTAAAAATTCGCAAATATATACGAAGAAAAGATAATAAAATTTCATCAATTTCTTTGAAATATGACACAACAATACACATGTGTTGGAAGTCAAGACAAGATATTTTAAGGATGACAATTTCTTTATTTTATTATGAATGGAGTTTCAGTATAGAGCCTTATACAGTTGTCAAGCAAGAGTAAATATAAGTTGTCTCACTTATACAGTGTCACCAAAATTCCAAAGCTGATTTTGTTTTTTGTCTGATCAGATAGTTATGTTTCCAACTTGTCTTTGTCATTTTCATCATGAGATACTTCAGTTAGTTCACCAATTAAGAGTAAATTTCAAAAAGAGTGTACATTCAAGCTACTTTCGGGATTTTCGGGGTTCATCTTGATCAAGGGGGTCCGACTTCACCTGTTGTGATGGTTGACTGACAGTGGATCTATCCCCAGCTACTTCTATCTCGTATCTGCTTGTACACTTAGTAGACCTGTGGAAGAAAACAATAAGTCTCTGTGCCACCACAAGAACAGCGTCAACAGATGGCAAGGATAGTTGATCTTTAATAGCAATTGGACATGTGAATATCCTCCAATGTCAGCGGCAGCTGTATTGTTATTAACATTGTCTGTTGTAAGAGCAGATACTTCAGCAATGTGGAACTCCTGTTATATGTTCTTCAGGACAGTAGCCAGGTTTTCACAATTGAATTGGTCCTCTTGTGTCCAGGTAGCAAAGATCATGTTGCAATGTTTGTATGTGTTGTTCAGAATGTGTCATGTGACAGTGATATATACATGTGTAATGTATAAATGATAAAAGTTTAATCAGAGCTAATTGTACAAACTGTTCATTCGGAGAGGTAGAGGATGAATACCAAGTCTTACTCATATTTGAAACATATTCCCATTTCAGGTATAAATTTTTCCCCATATTGCAAGGTATTTTTAAAGACTGTCAGTTAATGATAAATCTCCTAATCTCTGAAAATCCTGATATGATCCATGCTGTTTCTGTATTCTTATACTGTGTGTACTGTGTGCTTTGATGCCTAAATTACTGAATAAACTGTCTGTCTGTAATGTGACTCAAAAACCGTTGAATAATTTCTTACAAAACTTTGCATGTCTACTAGGCACATACGTTTCCATGGCAACAAGTTGGACTTAGGTTCTATAAGGGTGCTGTTCGTTTCCGGAGCGTAACTCAAAAACCATTAAACTCTTTCTTACAAAACTTTGCATGTCTACTAGGCACATACTGAACTGGTACTATTTGATATTAAGGAGTTTTATAAATGTTTATTTTAGAATTTCCATTGCAGCTATTTTGACATGGCCTAAGAGAAATGTTGGGTCAGTTACCTGGTTTGGGACCATAACATGTTAAAATGGCGGGGGATATAGATGACTTCTTCGACTATACGCTTGTTTTTTTTACAGAGTTATGGCCCCTGATAACAGTCATTTTGATTCGTTATGTTTGTATGTGGTTCAATTTTACACATTCTGGATTGTCCATAATTTTGTTAAATGCTGTGAAAACATTCAAGTCATGAGCTATAAATTGGAGATTAGGGCTAGATCTAAATAATACAAACATTACAATTTACCCCAATAGAATTCTTAGCATAAAATAGTTATTACAAATTAGTCTCTATCCGTATAAAGTTATGTAGATAAGTCGCAGTTCAAGGGAGAACTGTTCAATAAAGTTCCAAGGGTATGTTCACGGAATGCAGAATACATATTTTTCCGGCTTATTCATGGCTTATTATCCCCCGCCCAACAATGTTGGCGGGGGATATAGAAACGGGCTTCGTACGTCCGTCCGTCACGTTTCGTTTCCGGAGCCTAACTCATAAACCGTTCAATATTTTTTCGTCAAACTTTGCAGGTCTGTCAGGTACATGCTGAACTGGTGCCTTTTGCTATTTAGAAATTTAAGAAATGTTTATTTTTTACGTTTCCATGGCAACAAGATGGACTTAGGTTCTGTGAGGGTAGGGTTCGTTTCCGGAGCATAACCCATAAACCGTTTAATATTATTTCATCAAACTTTGCAGGTCTGTCAGGTACATGCTGAACTGGTGCCTTTTGCTCTTTAGAAATTTTAGAAATTTGTAGTTTTTAAGTTTCCATGGCAACAAGATGGACTTAGGTTCTGTGAGGGTAGGGTTCGTTTCCGGAGCATAACCCATAAACCGTTTAATATTATTTCATCAAACTTTGCAGGTCTGTCAGGTACATGCTGAACTGGTGCCTTTTGCTCTTTAGAAATTTAAGAAATGTTCATTTTTTACGTTTCCATGGCAACAAGATGGACTTAGGTTCTGCGAGGGTAGGGTTTTGTTTCCGGAGCATAACTCATAAACCGTTCAATATTATTTCATCAAACTTTGCAGGTCTGTCAGGTACATGCTGAACTGGTGCCTTTTGCTATTTAGAAATTTAAGAAATGTTTATTTTTTACGTTTCCATGGCAACAAGATGGACTTAGGTTCTGTGAGGGTAGGGTTCGTTTCCGGAGCATAACCCATAAACCGTTTAATATTATTTCATCAAACTTTGCAGGTCTGTCAGGTACATGCTGAACTGGTGCCTTTTGCTCTTTAGAAATTTTAGAAATTTGTAGTTTTTAAGTTTCCATGGCAACAAGATGGACTTAGGTTCTGTGAGGGTAGGGTTCGTTTCCGGAGCATAACCCATAAACCGTTTAATATTATTTCATCAAACTTTGCAGGTCTGTCAGGTACATGCTGAACTGGTGCCTTTTGCTCTTTAGAAATTTAAGAAATGTTCATTTTTTACGTTTCCATGGCAACAAGATGGACTTAGGTTCTGCGAGGGTAGGGTTTTGTTTCCGGAGCATAACTCATAAACCGTTCAATATTTTTTCATCAAACTTTGCAGGTCTGTCAGGTACATGCTGAACTGGTGCCTTTTGCTATTTAGAAATTTAAGAAATGGTGTTTTTTTACGTTTTCCATGGCAACAAGATGGACTTAGGTTCTGCGAGGGTAGGGTTGTTTCCGGAGCCTAACTCATAAACCGTTCAATATTTTTTCATCAAACTTTTCAGGTCTGTCAGGTACATGCTGAACTGGTGCCTTTTGTTATTTAGAAATTTTAGAAATTTTTATTTTTTTACGTTTCCATGGCAGCAAGAGTTCCAAACTCTTCTTTTTTTACAATTTCCATGACAAGTTCCACCTAGGTTAAAAAAGGTTAGGGTTTGTTTAGATTTAATTATGTCATAAATTCTGCAACAGGGGCGGGGGATATAGCCAGGTTAGTGGCAAACTCTTGTTTGTTATGATTTTTACATTACTAGATTGATCATTATTTATTAGATTGAATTTTCTCTTTACAAATTCAAATTCATAATCCCTGTATTTTCAAACACATTTCAATCATGGAATGCCAATACTTGGTATACATTGTCCCAAAATCACTTTTGAAGTCCAGTTCAGAATAATGCCAAGTACATATGCAAATACGTTGTAAACTTCCATCAAACTACCATTATATATTGCATCCAGTTCCCAATTTTGTTATGTCTTCCTTCAAACCTTAGATGCCTAGGTCTCACCTAACTTGTTGCGGGAACTACTGAGTAATGATGGTCTGGGCCTAGATTTTTGAAACAATCGTAGACCTAAAATTATCATAAAGTTATCGTAAGGAAATCGTAGGCTATCGTTGCCTTTTTTCGAAACTATCGCAAGTTTGTCGTAAATCTAACATGGCCCCACACCTGTTTGTAAGTTTATTTTATCTTCATCCAAGATGGCGGCATTAACTTTGACATAGATATTTTTCAAACAAATAATCTGCCTTCCGTTCAGACATTGACATTTCATTTTTTGAAAACTGTGTGATTCAAATTGACACAACGCTTTATGCACAA